CATTAGGCGTGACGCGAGAACACAGCGCTATGATCTTTACCGAACAGTGTTCGGTGAACACTTGCGTCAGTGATAGCTGAGGGTCCACCATGGCATAATTAACAGCTTGAATTTTGAAATCGAATGGTAAAACTGCCACCATTATCCACGAGGATTGGATCCACGGCTGAGTAGTCACCAGGTCATGCGCTGAGTCGGGAGCGTTCACCACTCCTTTCCACAGTGTGAAATCCACACGGGCGTCAATGCTCCAGCTGCTCGCCTTTCTTCAATGAACCGCACACAACTTATAGTCCATGAAATCATTAACTGTCGACGAAATTCACGAGCTATGATTCATACCACACTTTCATCGGAACGTGACATATCGTACAGCAGTTCCTAGTTCCAATGTATTCGAAAACGTCGTTATGCGAAGCGTATGTGATACTTTCTCAGCCTTCTTCAATAATCGCCCTCGCCTACCTCCAACAATGTAAATGTACGCGTCGAAAATACCAGAGTTTTCCATCGACTGAATCAAAGCGTACATGAAGGTCGTGACCATCATCAACTGTCGATTCCGCTCGCAGATTCTCTTCTTCTCGCTCTCTCTAACCTCCGAAGCAGCCAGCGGGGAATAATGATCCCCGATCTCAGGCATGGTATATGGACACTTACAAACGCTGCTATTTCATCAATCCACGAATACCCACTTATATCCATCCAAGATGGTCTCTAGACTCAACCAAGGAAATTTCATTACGATTAGCACTAAGATGTAATATATTCTTCACCATCCGCAAAGATTCACAGTGGAAATGGTAAATTTTGATAGAATTTTCTTGTCATCGACAAGGCCGTGAACCTCCCAACACGCAGCTCGTTATCTAGAAACGCTCCTCATTATTCGTACTCAACCGGGGTGCTATTGCGTATCGCCACAAAGTTGACAAAAGTCAAATCGGTGTCCAACATGGTTTTCTGATCTGCACAGTATCGACAGCCCGGCACGAGCTCCTTGACCTCTATGTCAAACCACTTAGCAGAAATCGCGCTCATCAGCTCCTCATACGACAACTCTAATCGTCGTAGGAATTTACCTGAAGCTCTCTATGTGCTCGTCACAATTAGATTAACACAGTACATGAAAAACCAATGCAGTGAGAATCAGCATCGCCAACGGCGATGCCAACTTAACAATCACATTGCAATAATCAACCTCACAACACTACGCCGATACCATCACCGAGTTGTGCTTAGATTCTACCAACCCCTAGTAGTAAAGTGATCTCAATTATAGTAAGTATAGTAGTATATCCCTAGTCGTGATGTACTCTGGATCGTATTCTAGACACTATTCGATGCAGAACTTGTGCACTACTAACCACATATTGAAGTCAGGGTCAGCTACCAATAGGCGTGATAAATAGAAGACGTACCATCGCGACCCGCATTGAACCGGTCTCCATCGTACAGCCATCCCAATGGACCCGTGTTAACCCACCTCCCACCAGGCCTATCACAATGCATAACATGCCGTTGCCCGGGATCGAACCCACGACCCTTACTTCAACACATTCGCGATGGTCTTGATGTACGCAAACACGTTCGGTGCAGTGTCCACGAAGGCTGCCGTCAGAACAATATCAAAGGCCTCATGCTTCTCTGCCGAGCCATATGCCTGATCCACTATTTCCCATTGCTTACCAACTATCTCTTCCCATCCTACTACCTCTGTGAACTCGAAACCATTGACGCTTACTCGACTGAGAGCATTCTTGTCGATCTCACAATCCGGCAGAGTGACCTGCGAACGATGAACTGCCTGACTCGACTCGTCTTTTCGGAAAGGAACGCCAATTTCGACAAGTCATCAATCTAACTATCCATGACCATCCCAAGATACGCAAAACGTATTCCAACGCAGCTGTCGCCTGAACCCCAATACCGTTCTAATGTGGTCATCTCTCTTCATCCTGTTGCAAGTATCCAAACAATACGGCTCAATAACTATCGGACCAGACCTACGATCATCACTAAGGACAGCCCCTCACCATACCAACAACAACAACCATACCCGCTGACCACAGCATTAGCAGCCGCGAGCTTCATGACGTCGAAATCATTCGCTTCTACATCGTGACCGAGTACAGCCACATCGTACATTAATCTACCAGTGCCACATCCCGGTACCAAAACACGGCACCCTGAAATGAGTCTTGAAAATCAAGATGAATCTTGCAATCTTACGCTCACTAGGTAATTCCTTAACCAAGGGGGCATAACTTTGCTCCCTCTCCTCCTCACCCTCAGCAGCCCAATCTCTTGTTAACTCAGACAACAGCAGTCGTACCTAAATAGGAGTATGTCCAAATCGATCACATGATCGATTTTACTCTGTAGTGGAGCGGTGTGTTGACCTTCTGCGCAGGCTCATGCAGCATTGGCAAGATTTGCCTAAGGAACTCCATATTTTGGTGTATTCCCTTCGCGATGCGTATCTTGACGGAAAAAAAGAGACCTCACGACCAAAACTGCACTCAAGGTCATCTGAACCTAATTAGGAAATTTCTCGCAAAATTTGCCATAAAATTTTCTGCCTCGAAAAAAAAGGACAGTCGCAATCGAATCAATACCGACTCTCAGCCCAAGCAACATCATATTTCCCCGCATACACCAATCTAATCAAAATCAGGGAATACATTTCCCTACCACTCCTTCCACACAAAACAACCTACAGCGAATTCACCGGTACTCCTGAAGCCCGCAACCCGGCATATCTCCTGCGTGTCATAATCGCTCAACGAGGCGTAGCTCCGCGCGATCCGTCGCACTTCCTCTTGAGCCTCGTATTGGTACCTAAAAACGACGCTCCGTCTTCCTACCGATAAAAGCTTTTATTACATCGCCAATGCCAACGCTACTTCCTCAGCATATACAACTTCAGCGACCGAGAGATCCGCTGTATAAGACGCGTACGTCTGCTCTGCTGCTTGCAACACCGACGGACTCACCCCCATTCGAAGAAAAAGAAGAAAAAGAAAACTGCAGATTTGCTGGACTAACCGCTGAACTTGAGCCATAATGCTCTCTCCATCACAGTGAGATCGTTGTGTACCATGTACGGCCCAACTTTGCCTCCTTTTCCATCAGATTCTCCAACCACTATCGCGCTGCTCCTAGTCGCCTACATCATGTGAAGTGAACCACATGCGCCCAAGTGAAATCCGGAAAGACGCCATCATGGCCGACCCTAGAATACGATTAACACCAATACCGTGAAAACGACAGCCAGTGTCTGAATTTCCTCAGTAGTACAGATGCGCACATGAAAATTCTCTTAGAAGTAAACAGAACAATTCTGGTAACTCAGCAGCACATGTAGTTGACCTTCCCTATACTGACCACCATCCTCTCCCATTAACCCGCTTCCACTCACAAAACAGACTCGATTAGGTAATACCAACTTGAATACCACACCACGCGGTAATGCTGATATTGGAGCAATTTCGTGGCGCGTGACGGTTTCGTATAATACTATGTGACAAAGAAATAAGCAATGTGTTTGGACGATGTGACAATGGAGTGGTATGCAGCACGCATGTACAAAATACTCAGCCGCTACTGTCGACGATACACATTATAGAATGTGGCCCCAACTGACACACAGCTGCCCATCAACTTAGTGTCAGACAATCTACAATCACGAAAATCTTCGCTGTGCGCAAACGTATCATTATATATCAATCAAGGAATTGGCAGCTGTGGAAATCGACTTGAGCGACTCACATCAGTCGAACCAGAGATAACTTCACTCGGACAACAAAAGGCGCTTCGCTCCGCTAAACCAGCCTTTTCATAAACCGAATCGTCCGACAAAAGCATCGTCGACCAAAACAACCGAACGCTGAGTTCACCGTCGCCATACCACTCCTCTCCCAAATAACTTCAAACTACGCCTTGACCTTCTCGTCATATAGCGAGTCCGTACCCCACACTGCTGCCCCCTGTAGAGCCATACCAATTAGAATAGCTTGTGCGATAGCCGGCACGGCTTCGTCTCCTTTTACTCTACCAAATGCCAACGCCAACAGCGTGCAGTGGAGGTAATGATGTAACTGCAGGAAAAAAACCAAGTCCAACCCTCCATAGTTGTCTTGTTATTCATGCAACATATGTTCGGTTTCCTCAGCTGAGCTCAGGAGTTTCCTCACTAATCACAAGAGCTTATGAAAAATTCGGGTAGAGATGATCAGACACTAATAAGAATGTACCGAAACTTCCTCAGGATTTCAAATTATCCCCGACACATGTAGTTGACTATGTATATCTTCTCCTGCGCTAACCTTCCACGACTCAATACGTTAAAGAGAGACTATCAATTGTACATTTCAAAATGCCGTCGCCGCGGATCGAACCCGGGGCCTCTTCACCCACTACATGGAAGCTATATCCAGGTGGTGTTCTCAACCACAGGAAGATGAGAAAGACAATTCCCATCATTAGCCGACCCACGCAGTCGACGTGATAATAGGCGTATCGAGTCATGAGTATTCCCAACGAAGACGCCTGAAAAAATGCCATCCCCAGGGATCGAACTCACGACCTTTCGATTACCGCCACAACAATGGTCGCCAGCCCCAGTGCCGGCGCGCTTTTCATATAATCCGTGTCTGCAGTCAGAGGGATCGCCCCCACAACCATCTGAATCAGAGAGTAAACCTGAAAACACACAAAAATCCTAGCGGAGCGAAACTGATCAAAGAAACAAAAACCGATCCCGTGATCAAAGGCATCACTACTGCATTTCAAATCTACTCTAATTCCGTCTACCATTCATAGTGGTAATACTAAAGCTCACTAGTAATCAGGGTTTACTACGTGAACCCAAAGGATAGTCCTAATTCACTTCAAGCACACACCAGAACCAACCAGTGATAGCACAAGTGCTCTTACAAAGGGCGTAGCAGCAGTCACCCACAGTCTGCTGGGCCGGCATATCCTGTGTATTGCCGTAGCCCCACAGAAGGCTACCACCAATGTAAACATCCAATGCTGCCATGAACGGTTTATCTTCTGAGGAACCTGACAATAATCAACCCTCTCATGGGGAGAAAACAAGCTCCAACTAGAACAGAGAGATTCCGTCCGAGACGACCACTAAAACCACCACTCGGAATTCTAACCAGAAAGCCGCGAATAACTCGTCACCGGGTCGCTGATCACATCGGGAGAATAATCGAGATCATCATTGGAGTTTCACCACCCTAGTGATATGAAAAACATATTTCACGACTACTGCATATCACCGCGAATATCGCGGTTTTCAAAGAGTATTACGCCACTTCACATAAAACTGGTGAAACTCCATTGAACAACAACCACATAGGAGGGGTCGAAAGCTTAACCCTATTTAGCTGATCATGCTACTACCAGATGATATCAAGTGAAGGAAAAAAGAAAGATACCACAAGATTCCCCACACGCACAGTCTAGATTTCCCTGAATTGACCTACCCCACAATAGGCAGCCAAAAACCGACTATACGAAGCCGCTACAACACATACTGCGAGGAACCGCACAAGACTTCGGATATAGTCCGACTCGACGACCAACGCTGCCGCTGAAGCGATAGGTTGTACACATCGAGAATAGGTGCTACCTGACACAGAGCCAGTACTCAAAATCCGTTAAATACGAAGGTCCCCGGTTCGAATCCCAGCGAGAGTATTTACTTTGCCCCCAGTCGCCGACGGTATCCGTGACCGTTGCTGAGGGCGGCAACCTCAATAGCAGGGCCGATAGCTCCGATGACGCACCCTCTTCCATCGCTCCCTCACTCACTGGTCCACTGTTCACTTCCAATAACGATGCCGCCGCTCTTTGACCTAGAAATTGGCGGAGGTCAAGATAGTATTGCGAATAACCAACACTGGGTATAAGGACAGTAATAATAACACTACTGCTAGGAGCTCGATAACACAATGATGGTAAGCCGGATATTACCGTCCAATAGGGTTATTTGGTCGTCCATAGCACCGGGAGGCCCACCCTTGCCGGAAGCCATGTCGAGTACTACCATAAAACGGAATAGCGATAACGTTTTAACAAAAGATAGGATCTGGAATGAGCACGTACTACTACTAATACTACTACTACTACTACTACTACTACTACTACTACTACTACTACTACTACTACTACTACTACTACTACTACTACTAGTACTACTACTACTACTACTACTACTACTACTACTACTACTACTACTACTACTACTACTACTACTACTACTACTACTACTACTACTACTATATTACTAGCACAATTAATATTCTCGCTGTATGACAGAAGACTAGACTGCCCAACGCAGTGAAAGCTCAACCGATCGTGGCAAGTAGCCCCCGAACATCAACACCAATGCAGGGAAGATGTCCACCGAGGACTACAGAGATGCCGATATATTGGTCCTTTTGTTAAGAAGAAATCTCTTCGAATGGTGCTGGCCTTTTAGGGCGCGCGCGACATTAATAGCGCAATATAGTACTCGGCGAAATGCGAGCCTAAACGACGCTTGCTAGATGTAGAATAGTATGGGAGTATTGTCAGGCACCATGCAGGTATGATACATTGACTGTCATTTGGTTATACAGCATGCAAATACAGCCCCGATCGCAGCTTCCCACCCAAAACTCGTTAACTCAACTCGTCCCGCCCTGCCGACTTCATCTGTGGCCATCGGACGGCCATCCTCACACAATTGAGGATCGCACGTCAAGATGCAGACAACCAGAAACTACCGGGTGGCAGAGGGTGGGCAAAAAGAGCCAGCACGCTCACCAGCAACTGATAGATGATAAAGTAAGGTATCAATAATCCTCACACTAACACTGAGGACCAGCAGCAACAACGTCGCACGAAATACACAGGTTCAGAGTAGCTAGCTTCGCGGGCGAGCGCGTCACGGTCCTGTTTTTGCACCACTCTACACTCCACATGTGGGAGAGATTCCGCGACAACGCACAAACCCTCCTCACCAGAAATGCGTCCCTCATAAGCACCAATAAGATCCTGAACTTGGCTCGAACTAGAGCTCGATGGAGGGACAGTTTTAATTAATCCCGAAGAATCGGAATGAATAGCATGCTCAACAGGTATCGTAGGATCTAATGGTTTCGTAGAATCAACAGGTATCGTAGGGTCTAATGGTTTCGTAGAATCAACAGGTATCGTAGGATCAATAGCACCCTCTTGTACTCGAGTTATCTTCCCACTACCATAACGCGGAGCAGAGGCCTTTGATTTGGAACTAGCTCTCGGGGGCATAATGGAAATAGAACTTGAGCCAAGATGGCTAGTGACATCGCAACGAGGCAACAAGGTAAACCATCTCGGCTCTAAAACAATCACGGACTATCATGCGTGCTAACACTTGAAGAAATTCAAGTCAGCAAGATCTCGAATGATTAGTCATCGAGCTGTGCTCCCACATGCCGCTTTTTCCCAATTACGGGCTGTCCCTAGTCCGTGATCGAAGAGATAGCAATGGAGTAAGAGATATATATGATGGCTGGGGTAAACAGAGCAATGATGGAGACCTCATGAATCACATTAGGAACTCGACCATTGATGAGATCCACGTCTCGATTACGATAATTGGAGAATGTCACTTATAACTATCACTCTCCCTGGCTCCGCGTACATGACTAAGCTGGAGTAGTCTCTGTAATACAGGATGTATCACACTGCGACGCCTTAGCGTAATCAATCAGCCGGAAAAACTATCCCGAGAGCAGCTACACCGGAGCCAAACACCATTTACCGCTAAGTAGAGGGAATAGCGAGGAATATAATCGGTACACACAACGTACATTATGATTCGCCTATGCCACCCTCTAGCTTATCGATTTACTCTGAGGCATCAATAACAGTATGCCACCTCAGCTCGCATCCTGCTTCGTAGTGTGTAAGGCTCAGAAAGCAAAGAAAAAGGAAGAAAAAACCATTACCGTCCAGAGTCACTCTATGTGCCCTCTGCTAATGTGTTGGTAGCATATAGTGGCATAACATCAACAGTCAGCATACAAATAGCAGCAGCAATCTGAATACCAGCCAGCACTCTGGTCACGACTGGAAAACAGTAGAGCGAAGGTGCGCGGTAATGGCAACATAAAGACTTGTGACCAACATGATGGCGATAGCATTAGCAGTAACACGTGCGTGTTAACGGTCGGTACCGGCACGTAACAGGGTCTCTTCACTTCAGTTCTCATCATTGAGAGTGATGGCAAGCGCATATCGCCCAATACAGGTAACATACATCAGCTTCAAGCAACAACCAATTAGCTACCATTCAAGCCACCAGCTATGAGAACGGAGGGAGAGGATAACCAGTCAGAACGATCCGGTACACAGCAATATTCCAATGTAGATGGTAACGAGTAGAATATAGTAATAGTAGTAGCCATCCATAGGACATTAAGATAATCGATAACTTATCGACAACATCCTGCACCCTACCTCTACCAACTCTACATTATGGGTCTCAGATGTGATGCATCCAGATTATACTTAACCTGCATGCCTCTCACCAAATAACCATGTAGACGCCAATTCTTTTTTTTTGTTTTTTTTTTGTTTTCTTTTTTTTTGTTTCTTTTTGTTTTCTTTTTTTTTGTTTCTTTTTGTTTTCTTTTTTTTTGCACTCTTAACATTTATATACCGCCCAAAGGTGCGTCAAGCCTCCACCGCGGTCCTCCCATAAGGAGTGTTTTATTTTTTTTTTTTTTATTTTTTTTATTTTTATAATAATACACAAGAAGCTTCTCACAGCGTGAGTAACGCTATGTGAGCGAAGGTAACGGGAACATCTAAGATGAACTCGGGGAATCAGCAAGACCATAAAGCTCCAAGTCTGCTGTCGCCGAAGCGCAAAGATAATCTCGAGAATCAAGGACATTAACCCTGACTATATTGTTACCAGTAACATCGCATACACGCATACGAAATGTACGCCCATTCACTTTACCTTTTGTCACGAAGAGACCACCATTCAAGCGGTGCTTATAGGAAGGGCGGAAGGGTCCTGGCCGAGTGGTGGTAAAGTGGGACTCTTTGGGTACAGCGAAGAGGTGTAAAAGAATGCGACCGTTGTCAGGATGACGCTCGATAACTCGCCCAACATGCCACATAGAACGATCACCACTCGCACCGGCCACAAGCAAGATGTCACCAATCTTGACAGAATCCGGAATTACATTAAGATCCCATAAATCAGATGGAGGAGGGACGGTATATTTAGATTCGAAGTGAGGCTTCAAATCTTCAGGACACTTCAACATACAATTGGTGTGGGCAACAAAAGAATCGAGCCATCTGCAAGTAGGATCTAGACTATCTGCCAGCAGATAGTTTACAGCGCTTCGCCTTTCGACCACTACATAGGGCCCGTGCCACCGACGAATAAGCTTAGCAGAACCACCTTTCAGATCACCAAGTTCCCTGTAATATAGGACATAGCTTCCTATCGGAAAGGATTCGACCTGAGCATCTTCGTTCCATTCCTCCTCTCGCCTATCCTGAGAGAAACTACGCAGCGAAGCGAAACGATCACGAATTTTGTTGAGGGTGCGCTTTAGCTTGATGTAATAGTCATCAACATCAGGCTGAACCTGCGACAGGACGTCCTGAAGCATTTGGTCAAGCATCGTATGAGGAACACGACCATAGAGCAACTCAAAAGGAGAAAACCCACAGTCACGCCGGGGAATGATCCTTAACGCATGCTGCACGACGGGCAACGCACGCCACCATTCCCCTTCAAACTCCTCGGCCCAAATTTTTAGCTTACGAATAAGTTCTTGATTAATTCTCTCAGTGCACCCGTTAGTCTGAGGGCGATGACCGGAGGACACCAAATGCGTGATTCTCAAGATACGACAGATGTGAGTCATAGTATCGTTGAGGAACTCGCCTCCGCGATCAGAGAGAAGCTCAGCGAAGGGGCCATGCCGTAATATCCAGTTATCCACGATGCTCTGCGCAACTTCCTTCGCCTCCTTCGTATAGAGTGGCGCTAACTCCAACCATCCCGTATAAACATCGAGCATAGTCAAACAGTATAGGGGGTATTCCACATCCTTCTCGCGGACATGCTCTGGAAGATATATCGGCCCAACCAAGTCCACGCCTACTCGTTTCATCGCAGAACTGGTATAACGAGAATGTTGTTGAACATTGCCATAAGCCGTAGGACCTCTGCTGATGCTGCGACATGTGAGGCAACGGCGGACACACTCAGAGCAGTCTCGCCACATTCCCTTCCAATAGAACTGCTTTCTCAACAAATTGTACATCCCATAGCGCCCTGGATGTCCATTTTCCACGCCAGTGTGATAGAAATCGAGTAAGGACGCCCTCAATGCTTTCGGCACCACCACTTGATGTAGCACGATGTCTAACGACTCATCGTACTGCGTCCGTCTCAGCAGCTGGTCTAAGTAATGGCGCTCTGCCTTGGCCCGAACTTTCATAACCGCCTCCTTAGTTAATCCTGCGCAATCCCCATTGAGATACTTGATAACCGGATATATCTCAGGATCTTCCTCCTGAAGCTTCTTCACGTATCTCAGGGTTTCTGGAGAGGGATTCTGCCGCTGAAGATCCGAGATCAGCAGGGCGTCGAGCGAGCGCTGGATATCATTGGACACCTCACCATCGCTCTCGGCCTCTGCTTCCTGGCCCCCGACGTCCATGGCTGCTTCCAAACCTTCAAATACCGCCTCACCCTCACCGAAACTTCTCTTACAGTTCGTGCAATAAAGCGAAGATGAGGCTCGGGGGCGTCTGCAGAAATCATTCCGGCAGAGGTCAACACAGTATTTACATAGTCGAAGACCCTCATCTGAGAACATAGCCGTTCTTGTACACCCATATTTTTGGCAGGGGTCTTGGTAAGCTACTCGACGACGAGTATTGCCCACTGCCGGTTCAGAGCGATATTCTCTGACGGGCTTGTGATGTACTCCTGCTTCCGCTGAGTCGCGAGCCTCGTTGGAAGTGGCACCACAGATCAGGTATCTCGACGAATAGTATCCTTGAGCAGCATCCTCAAGAGCATCGATCACCGTCGGCCCGACCCATTCTATCAACTCAGGCGCCACACCCGGAAGAAAAGACGATGACGATATATCCACCCCGGCAGACAGCGTGAAGCCTATGTCTAGAGCCACTATCGCAGTGTCCATGTCCAGCACACCGTGTTGTTGAAGGAAACGTAGGCCCTCGCGCTCCACTCTCACAGCATCGAACAACGCACGCATCTTTACCACCCCTGCTGAATTGAGGATACTCCGAAGCACATGACGCATCTCCCAGGTTTCGGGCGAGAGGCCTAAGGATCCCTTCGAGACAGATATGATACCTCCTGTATGCCCTATCCATTCCTGAACGGCCTCAGTTATGTGACTATCGAGGCTGTCATAGGACAAGTAGCTTGACTTGTGCTCAATGTGTTGCCCTCGACAACTATCGGAACCATTTGCTCCATGCTTCAACTTCAGCAGCATTTTCACCACTGGCGACCTCCTACAATCCACGTGGGATAGCTGGACACAACGAATACGGGCACCTTCCGACCCCGCCAACGCCAGTACCTTCGACATAACCTCTTCAAAACCAGACTTTCCCTGTAGGTCACATTGAAACATATCTCCGATAACCACCATGCGGCTACCAGTTCCAAGTCGAGTTAGAACGGCCCAGAGTTCAGATGGGGAGCAATTTTGCGCTTCATCGACAATTATCCAAGTATCCTCAAATGAAAAGCCCCGGATCATTGATATCGGGATCACCTGGATACCGCCAGTAGCCTGCAATTCCCGGACTCTCTCGTCGGATAAGAACTTACACAAGTAAGAGAGTAATGGCTTAATCCACATTGACATCTTATCAACGACAGACCCCTTGATGTAACCGATATCACGACCGACGGGAACTACCGGCCGAGTGATCACGATCTGCCTGACCACCCCATCCCGCAAAGCTTTCGCTGCTGCTTGACATGCAAGCATAGATTTCCCAGTTCCAGCGGGGCCAGAGACCATGACGATGTCGGCATTTCGGTCATTGAGAGCTTCGAGGTAATTCTCAGCATTTTGCGTCCCTCGTTCACATGCAATAGAGCCCACAGTCACTCCGGCGTTAGGACAGCCACTGGCCATAGATGCAGGAACATTGCGACTCAACATGTCTGCCACTGCATTCAATTTGCCCTCGCGGTGAACGATCTCAATACCATATGCAGATAGACGGATGGCCCATCTCATAAGCCGCTGAGTAGTGTGTTCGGTAGTAAGCAACCATTTCAAATTGGCAGCGTCTGTTACCAGCTTAAATGGACGATCTTGTAGGTATGGCCGGAACTCCTCCGTAAATACAATGACGGCGAAACATTCTTTCTCCTGCGCCGTCCAAGACTTCTCAGACTCCCCCACGGCGCGCGACCCAAAGGCGATCACACGTTCTCGCCCCTCTTCGTCACGCTGCACCAGAATCGCCCCATACCCTATATCTGATGCATCTGTATGCAGCTCGAACTCCTTCGTAAAATCCGGCCACACCAACAGTGGATCAGATGTCAACAGGCGCTTGAGCTGAGCCACCGCCTTGTCACATTCTTCGTCCCAGCCGCCAGCATCCTTCTTCAGAACTCGCCGTAATGGCGCGGTCACCCGCGAGTAGTCCTTCAGCCATTTACGGAAGTAATTGGTGGCTCCTAGGAAACTGCGGATGGCCTTCATTGATGATTTGCTATTCACGGGCATGTCCAAAATGGCTTTTACTTTGGTATCGTCCATGCGTACTCCGTCGTTCGATATGAGCATCCCAACATATTTGAGGGAAGTACGAAAGAGTTGCATCTTCCTCGCCGTGAGCGTGATATCAGCATCACGGGTTAGATCGAAGAATACTTCCAACACTTCGAAGTGACCACTCACCAAAAGACTATACAAAATCGCGTCATCGAGATATAGAATGCAACATTTGTACAAGATAGCCGCATAAGAGCGGTTCATACCACGTTGATACGTCGGAGGACTTCCTGACAGGCCCATAGGCATCCGACGCCATTGGAACTGACCGATGTGTGTACCAAAAGCAGTTAGATGCCGTGAGGCAGGTGCTAAGGGCACTTGCCAAAAGCCTGATCGGGCATCAAATGCGGAATACACTCGAGATGTGCTCAGCTCGTCAAGAACCTGCGCCACTAGGGGAAGGGGGTATCTAGGGATTTGGGTAAGTTGATTCAATTTCCTAAAATCCTGAACAACCCTCCATCCTCCCCCTTTTTTCCCGATGAACATCACGGGAGACTGCCAGTCGCTCTGAGACGGTTCTATCACATTCTGAGCGAGGAGGTCTTTGACATGATCTTCGAGAGCCCGCTTTTGGTCAGGGGACATTCTATAGGGAGCGCAATAAACAGGCTGCGCTCCCTCGATGAGTTGTATTTCATGAAACACACCAGTCATCTCAGGCAAATTACGGCCGTCGTAGTCAAAGATATCCCAGTGACGCATTATAAGGGCTTCGATCTCGCTTCTGCCCGTCGGATCATCCCTCAGACATGTCTCGTCCAAATTAAGATGTGACTGCAACCATTGCTTGACCTCAGGTGGAGGAGGACCCGGGCGAGGTTTAACTGGCTTCAGGGGAGGGAGTTCTCGAGGTATCCCACTTCTAGAAGGAGTTCTCCACACAAAATCTTCATCAAGCCGAGGAAGGACCCTGAGAGGGTATTCGTCAGCTTCTACTTTGCTGACCAAGTTGTCAACAATAGAAGCAATACCATAGTTCCGGTTGTCCTCATCCAACCCCTCTTCATTTGTGTAGAGTAGAGGGGCCAATAGATCCAACATGACGGAAGCGGCCAGCGTAGACTCTTTCAATGTATCGGCTAGCTCACATAACAATCGCCTCCGGACTTCCCTCTTTTCATCACCTTCCCCCTCTGCGTAGCATATTTCAGCTTCGGCGTCGCAGCTCAGAAGCGGCGGAGTAGCGGAGAGCTCACACTGAACGGCCACGTCATCAGAGCCCAAAAGAGAGGAATCCAGTTCTAACAGTATAGGAGAGTGATCTGGCCTATAACCCAGACCAAATTCTGCATAATAAACATATGCGTCCTTCACCTTGTTCTGGACCTCTGACGAGACAAGGAAATAGTCAATGCG